GTAACAGTAAATGTAGTACATAGCATTAAATGGATAGGCGGCCCAAATATTACAAATTTTGCACGCGGATTCCATTTTCAGACTCAGTCTTTGATTACTGAGCGGTGCATTTTTTTTTAATAATTGACACTCCGAAATTGTCGACTGAATTTGTCAGACTAAAGATTTCTTTAGAACCCATATAATCTGTTCCTCGAGCCACACAAACATACGTTGGACCAAGGAGCTGACACAGTTTCTGAGCAGCAAAGGACAGATGTAGAATGACCCGATTTTGGACCCATTTTAACTGACCCGGCCCATTACTGCACAGTGTTTAGGCGGGAACACTGTGCAGTTTTCATTTTGCTTTTGTATAATAAAAGATATTTTCATTTTGCTTTTGTATAATAAAAGATATTACTCGATTCATAAAGGGTTCCTATTTTTTTATGTTCAAATCAAATACCCACATTTATGGGTACAAATCAATTTTCTTTAAGGATATATCTCTGTCCATGGGCCTGGTTATCATTAATTTTAGAGCTCTAGATGCACTAAAAAGAGAAAGCAGAAGTTGTAAATGCCGTCTAGGATTATTCATACTTCAAGCTCCGCCCATGATTCAGAGTCTAGGATTATTTAGAGCTCTTTGTCCACAAAAGCACTTTTTACATTTTCCTTCGCAGTCTAGCTCGAAATTGATATGGTTTAGAGATTTTGTTGACAAATTGAGCAAGAAAAAAAAAGACATCAAGAAATACCACATATTAATAACAAGGAGGGAGCTAGAAGCTCTAGCTATGGATGGTGGTCTGGTTTGCTTTACCGTAGTGAAGAATTAATTTGGGTTATTTCTGCCAAGATGGAGAAGAGGCATAGACAAATAATAAAATAAATTAACAGTTAGGTAGTAACGCTTGGATCTGACGGGAAGATAATAAAACGTTAGAAAGGATATATTTGCACCCTAATTTCACTTTTGTAAGCTTTTTGTTCAAAAAAATACAATAAGGGTATATATGTTCTCATGCTTATAGTATAGGGGTATACATGTTCCTTTTCCCCATCCTAAACCCTAAACTCTAATCCCAAGATAGAATGATTTAGAGCCACACAATCTTTACCAAATATGGTATGAGACAATCTTAGTGGGACTTCTCGAAAAGGTAAAATGAGACAATCTTAGCGGGACGGAGGGAGTATCAACTATCTTTCATAAATCAAGAATAATATCAACTTGAGAAATAACTTTTAATCATACCAACTACTACCTCCATCCCAAATTGATTTGCAAATTTGACTTTTCTTGGTCAAACAGTTTCATTTTATTCGCTTAATTAGGATGTCAATTTTTAATTATATTCTATTTTAGAGTTTACAACTTTGAAGAGATTTTAATGTAGTTTCTGTATACATAAATTTCAATTATTAAAAATTGAATTAATTATCGATAAAGAGCATTGACTTTTATTATTGGTTGACCAAAAATTGTTGACTTTGCAAAACAATTTGGGACGGAGGGAGTATTTGATTATCTATCAAAAGTGATACATAGCAAATTTTCACCAAAAATTCATTTATTCAATTCATCAAAAACTAATATCAAAATATCAAATAAGTGATCATATTTTTAAATATCAATTATTTGATGATTTGATCTTAGTTTTTGATGTCTTAAATGATTGAATTTCTTGTAGAAAAGTATCTCTATTTTATTTTTGGTTCACATTCAGATAGTTGGTATTATTAAAAGTTATTTCTAAAGTACGTATTATTATTGGTTCATTGAAGATAGTTGATATTATTTAAAGTTATTTTCTCTTTTTTTTTTATTAAATTTGAACCATAAAAATATTATACGCAGTATAAAGCAAGTTATATTCATGGATTATGTTTGAAATTATTTAAGTCTCTATTGGTCACTCGAGACACAGTAATATAAAGTTGTATGTGACTAGAAATGGAAATCATCAATAACAAACCAACACATGCCAATGATTGTCCTTGATTTTTGTTTATAGTACCAGTATTTAAGGTTTTATTGGATATGATTATCATCTTTGGAACCGGAATATCAATTTGATACCGGAAGGTGTGAGTGAATGTTTTGAAATTAGATCTCTTTGACATGCACAAACACTAGTGATAATTTTCTCTGGAGGACGTGAACCCAAAAATCATCACCTTTTCCCCAAATGGAAAACAAATGCTATTAATTCTTTACCAAACACAAACTTTAGGTTTCATGCGGAAAATTATGCAATAATAAAAATAAATAAGGTTACATTTACCTTTTCTAGTTGATGAATTGCTTGAAGAGTACGTTTTTTTCATATAGCTTTTCATTGTGCTTTGATTTTTTTTATGTGTCGTAAGTTTGTCTAATTCAATTAGTATATGTGTCGTCATAACTCTAAGTTTAATTGATGTTGGCTATAAGTTCACCCTCTTATATTTAGTTATTGGCAAATAATCAAAGATATATTACTTGAGTTAAATAGAACGAACCAGAGCCAATTCAGTACCTTGTGGTCTGATGGTATCAATGTGGCACTCCCAAGGAGGAGGTCACGGGTTCGAATCTCATCCCAGTTCAAGGATGTTGGAATTAACATTGAGCATATACTATATAGGTTAGAAAGAATTGTCAAAAAAAAAAATAGAACGAACCGGAATGTACTCTGATGGCTCATTGAATATACGGCGTACTTATTTTATAATTCGACAAATTAATTCATATAACACAATTAAGTAATTTCAACCACAAAAACTGAAGCGGTCATGGTGCCCTAGTTCATGTAGGGTTTGCTTTGGTTTCGTCCGTTGAAAGCTGTGGCGGCGCTTTGTTGTGGATCAGTTCTGGCCTTTGAGAGCGTATTACTTTGCTTCCAAGTTTGCGTGATAAGTTCCAGGAGGGAGATTCCATCAATCTATTTGTGAACTTTGGCAGTTTCAACAAGAGGTGCGAGTGCTTGGAGATAGACGGTGAAATTCACATCGTTCATATACTGGCCTCTATTTAGAGACCTATTAGAGGAGTCTCGATTAAAGAAATCATTGACAATGATATCTTTTCTCTTTCTATCATGAAATTGATATGAGGCGTGTTATTGAATATGGTCTATGGCTTTATGATCAGAACTATGGTATTGCATGAATTAAAGGTTGATGATTTGCCTTTGAATGTTCCTTTATATTTTTCAGAGTTCAAGTGCATAATCTAACAGTGAGTTACTTGACCTTAAAGGTGGCAAAATCTGTTGGATATAATCTAGCAATGTCTACTACACTAGATGTAAGGGGCGCTGAAGGGCCTATTTGAGAATCCGAGTTTGCCTGGATATAATAAAACCTCTTAGGAATAATTTCAAGGTTCAGAAAGAGAATGTGACTACTTATGGGTAGATATCAAGTATGAAGAGCTACCCATTGTTTGCTTTGCTTGTGATATCATTGGCCATGCAGATAGGTTCTATCCTTAGTTTCTCGGACTGCGGGTTCGAAGCAAAATAAAGAATTTGATTCATAGATGAGAGCAAACAACGGGCGTAGTGATGATGGAATTAATAAGTGGTTGGTTTTGGAGAAAGGAGATAAGCATGGGATAACCAATGATGCTGGTATAGAAGCAACCATAATGGCGAGAGCTTCAATGGATAGGGGTGTCAGTTCTATTATTGTTGCAGTGCGGCTGGAGACACTGAGAAGCGGAAGGAAGGTATATGGTGGCTGAGCAAAAGCCACCCTGAATGGAAGTGGAGATGACAGTGGAAGTACACATGGTGTTGGCGCTGGAAACTGATGAAGGAAAAACAGGGTTGAGGCGAGCCCTAGATGACAGGTTCGTCGGGATACTTGAAGACTTGTGCGATTGGGCAATTTTTTTATTTTGATTTTACTTTTATTCTCAGACAATGCATGTCATTCTTTTATTTCTGCTTTATTTATGTCTTTATCAGTTAGGGCATTATGACGTGTTTTATTTTGGTTGTTACCTATAGACAAGTCATGGGTGTTTTGAGTATAACCCTAGGGTTGGTGACCGAATGTGAAATGGTTTTTTGTTTGTTGATATGCGAGTTTTTGATCTCAATATGAGTCTTTTCCACAAAAATCTGATCATTTTCACATATTTTTTTCATCAATAACCAAGATTAATTTTTAGTTTTCACATAGAGGGGACACTTTTCATTGGAATCAAATTATACATACACACGCACTTCTAACTGAGTTTCTAACTGAGTTTGATACACACTATTAGTTTTTGGGTAAAACATGTCAGCATCAAAGAAACGTGATTGCATTTTCGTAGATATTCTATCAACTGGAATATACAAAATTTATAGTGCATGACACTAAGATTCTGTTTGTCCATTATGTTTTTCGGGTTATCAACCTTATTAGTCAACTTTTTCACAAAACATGTAAGTTTTGATTTCGCGCGTTGATCGTTGTGTAGTAATCAACATAAGTAATGTTTTTTTACTCTAAAAGGCCATTTTAACTATTTTTCATATGAATTTTTCTTAATCAATTAGAATCAACGATTAGTCTGAATTTCATAAATTTTAATCAAATTGAAGCATTGTTCGCAAGGTTTTAAATAGCGGTCCGCTACCACTATAGCGGCCGCTATATAGCGGTCGCGGTAGGGGCCGCTACCGCTACGGCCCGCTATTCCGCTGTGAATTCCAAATCACAGGAAAAACCCGCTACGCCGCCCGCTACAGCCCGCTATTGACATTTCCGGCAGTACGTCACGAACGGGTTGATGTGTAAATGTGTCTATGTTGTGTAAATGAACTCTTAATGTTATAAGTGTTCAAACAAATATTCACAATGTTTGTATTAAATTCAACACTCATTAAATATATGTTTTGCGCAATTGAAAATATTTCACGTCGCTGCAATCGCTACAGTCGGCTACAGGCCGTTATAGGCCGCTACCGCGATGACCGCTACCGCTGCCGCTACGGCTATTTAAAACCTTGATTGTTCGTACTTGGTAGTGTTGAGCTGCCAAACATTGTTCTGGTTTGATAATTTATGTACGTATATATAAGCATTCAATTTCATTGAATTCAGGTTTTGTATAATTGTATCAACTGCAAGATGTTCCCTCTCATTGAATTGAATTCATCAATTCCAATCATCTCGGTTCTTGTGCCGCCATTACTCCTTCAGTTTTTTTCTTTATCTTTAGTATTAGGCACAAATTTTGTAAAAAGGCAGCTATTCCCCAATATAGTTTGCCAATCAAGAAAATAAGTATCAAATCGGCAGATAGAGATGGAGGCGGTGAGGGTAGCAGTTATTTTAGTGTTGTTAACGATGAGTGCAGTATTGGGTGAAGCCCGGAGCGGGGGATGGGAAGGAGGAGAAAAGAGGAGCCGCCGCCGCCACAGATCTGGTGCTCCCACTTGTGATCCCTTATACTTGTTCCTTTTCGGAAGCTGCGGGCAGTGGCCTTATTCATCACCTCATAATAATAATAATCCCTTTACATGCCCCCTCCCTACTACTCGCCCCCGCCCTCCTCCATTACCGCCGCCTGTTCTGCCCCGCCTCTCCCCACCGCCGCCACCTCCCCCTTCACTGCCTCCGCCCTCTCCATGTCCCACCCAGCCATCAGCTTCACCTCCCCCTCCGCTGGTTCCATCTCCCCCACCTCCCTCTCCGGTCCCATCGCCGCCGTTGATAATCTACCCCCCACCACTAGATCTTTCCCCACCGCCGCAGCTGACACTCCCATGGCCATGGCCACCAGTTGTCCAGATAATCCCATCTCCACCGCCAATACCAGTAACTTTGCCTCCCGATCTATCCGCGCCGGCACCACCACTTGTCCCGATACTTACGCCTCCGCAGGAGGAGCCGATATGGACACTGCCGCTGCCATCAACATTTACTCCGCCGCCAGAAATTCCAGAACAGCCGCCCGCAATTGTTATGCCGCCTCCTTTGGAGACACCTGTTGAGCCTTTGCCGTTCATATCAACGCCGCCGTCCGTACCAAGCTTAGTCGACTCCCCTCCCTCGAATAAATAACTAATAGTGGATTACATACTTCAACTCTTTAAGGGTGTATGTATCACAAATTAATAAATAAATAAACACGGTTCCAAAAGGGAATTCAAATGGATCAAAGGGTGGTATTTAGCGGTCAGCTGTTCAAAAGTTAATTACGTAAATAGGGGAAGGAAAGATGTTTTCTTTTGAACTGTTTTCAATCCAGACCAAATTAAATCAGACCAAACTTTCGTAGTTATAAAATACATATAGACCAGACGTTTACCAGACCAGTTCAGACCAGATCAGACCAAACTAGACCAGATCAGACCAAACAAACAAATTTCAGTCCAAAAGAAAACATAGTATTATACTAGTATGTAGTATATTGTTTTTAATTGCTTGGTAAAACTAATTATTTATGGAGTCAATTCCCTAAATAGGAGTTAGGACTAAAAAGTGACAAAATTGCACAAATAGGGCTACATTTTTTAAATTCCCTTAATAAGACTATTTATGCATGTTTGGACAATTATACCCTTGTACCTTGTGAAAATTTTTAATTAATAATAAAATTATAAAAAATAATGAAAATCGAAAAAATAAAAACAAATCGTAAAAAAAATGAAAATTTAATAAAATATTTATAAAAAAAATTATTATTTTTTAAATATTAAAAAATTTAAAAAAAATCGTAAAATTTGAAAAAAAAAATTGCCACCCCCTGCCACCCCCCAGTACCACCAACTCCCATCACCGGAGAAAAATATGCCAACATTTTAAATAATGCCATAATGTTGGCATACTCAATGAAAATGTTGACATATTGAAGAGTAATTATGTCATCTTTTTGGCATTTTCAAAAAAAGATGGCATTTTTTACCAAAAGTGGAAGAAATTTCACCAATCGGGGGTGGTGCTGAGAGGCGGCGGGAAAGATATCCATAATTTTTTTATTTTTTTATGGGTTTTTACTATTTTTTTAAAAAATTAGAAAATTGTTTTTTTTTTTAAATTTTATTTTCTAAATATTTTATTAATATAATTTCACTTCATCAAAAATAGTCTTTGTGACTCGCGTGATTATTGATGAGATAGTTTATAAATCGTCTAAGAAAAGTTTTGGCTCAGCAATACAGAATGATAAGAATAACAAAAAAGAAAAAACTCTAAATCTGAAGCAGAAATGCACATTGAGAACAAAAAATCTTTAAACCCATCGTAAAAGCAATCTTGAAACGGTGAAACCTCAACAACATAATCTAATCTAACTAATTGCCCCTATTCTACAACTTCCGTTTAAAATCAAATGATCTAAACATTAAAATTTACTTTAACTACTTTAAACATGTGAGTAAATACACTTTCATACAAGTAATTTTTTTTTTTGATGAAATGTAAGTATATATTAACACCCAAGAAAATAACAAGTTAATGTTACAATAAAAGTGCATATCCTAGTAAATAGGATACCACAAAATCGAGCAAAAACAGCCTCCTAAAATCAACAAGATAAGCCCAAACACAAAAGATTCAAAGCTACAATCAAGCTACCACCATATGTAACCTTAATTTAAGCTTCAAAGAAAGCTCGGAAAGGAGAAGTAAACGTAGAGTCAAAACAGATCTCCCCTTTCTTCTTAGTAACTCCCGGCATCGCCTCGAGACATTTGGTCAAGAAAGTAAGGCCTTTCCCATCCAAATCATCCGTAAGCCGAAGCGAAGTATCCACTCTAACCACACTCATGTGCACGAACTTAAACGGTTTGACAGTGAACTTGAATGTCTTACCTTTGGTGATCACAACTCTGACGACAACATCATCAAGCCTCAAATCTTTTTCATTCATCACAAACCTCTCAATATCTTCCGACTCAGTATCGGAGCACTCATCATCGGAGTTCGTTTCAACATTTTTAGAAAGCCCCTGGGCAGTTGGCGGAGTCGTTCCTTGGTCGCTATGTTTTTCTGTGGCAGCAGCCAAGTGATTGGCAGACCCCAGGGATGAAGCCTGCCCTTTAAACCCGGTCGGGTCAGGGCAGCACCCGGGCGGGTACGCAGCAGCGGACTCCTGGACAGCAGCAGGCACACGGACAGTATCAATAGCAGAAACATCCAAACCAGTATGTTCAACACCAGTTGCAGTTTCCAAGGCAGCAGTGCTTGGTTCGGCAGAAGTAAATTCAGCAGTTTGGAGCTCAGTTGCAGCAGTAGGCAGCATTGCAAGTACCTTTTCACACGCAGCAGCAGCAGTAGGCACCGATATTGCATCGGGTTTTGCTGCTAGTTCCTTGCAAATGAAAGGATGGTGTCCGTATTTTTTGAAATGGAAACAGTAGTTCGGAAACGTTTCATAGAGAACCCGCTGCTCAAAGATCCTTCCTGACGCCATCTTGATTGGAAATGAGAGGGGAGGAGGCTTAGTAACGTCCACTTCAATCAAAACTCTAGCGAAATTGTGGTTAGCTTTTTCACGCGTTATTCTATCTGTGGTGAGTGGAATACCAACCTTTGAAGCAACTTCGCTAATAGTATCCTCATTCCACAACCTCGCTGGGAGCTTAGGGAATTTTATCCAAATCGGAACTTTTAAGAACTCATCATCTTCAAAAGAAAAATCATCAGACAGAACCTTCAAAACCAGTAGTTTCCCACAGAGGATATAGGGGCCCTCAAGCATAACCTTAGTCCTATCAGCTTCACTTTTGAATTTAAAAACAACCCAGCCCTTATCATGTGGTTTGACTTGACAGTGTACTCCCCATTTTTTTGTAAGGCTATAGGTTGCCTTCAAACCAGGGAACCTTCCCGTGAAAAATCCCACCAGACAGTAGCCATAGATATCCACCATTGAAGGTAGCACACGGTCTGAAAAGTCAAGCATATCACTAGTTGGTGGGATATACCTCAGTTTGAGTCCTTCGGAAGGAGCTCGATTGTCTTTAAACAGTGTATTCCATTGTTTCTTCTCCGTAGCAGGTCCAGTCTTGATAGCAGTATGTTCCGTTACTGCCACACCAATAGGTTGAGCAGCAGGTTCATCCCTTTTTTCAGCAGCATCAACCATAGCAGGTGGTTTAAGCCCTTCGGATGGAGCAGGTGCATCCCTTTTTGCAGCAGCAAAAGCCACAGCAGGTGGGCTTACAATCCCCTTAGCAGTAACCGAGTTTTCATCTGGAGCAACACAGTCAGAAATCCCAGGTCGTTTCGCAGGCCTCTTCCCAACATTCCCCAGAGTTAAAGGTGGAAATTCGTCATTAATGTCAGCAAGTAGGGCGAATTTGGACCTGGTCACACGGGTCGACGAAGCCTCCCCAGACCCCTGCTTAATCTTCCCCATTGCGAGTGAACAGTGTCCAGCGATTCAGCTCGTCCAAATCAGCGACGAAAACCTGCAAAAGTGAAAAGTACCCGTCGCACAATCAGAGGTGCGCTTGGCCTAAAGTTGGTTTCCTGATTCAAGAACAGGGTCCGAACACCAGTGACAAGCCCAAATCTGCGACGAAGCCTGCAAATGTGAACAGTACCCGTCGCACAAACAGATCGGTTTGTGGTGTGCTTGGCCTAAAATCGGAATTCCAATGACAAAATCTAGGTCGGAAATCAACGAAGGATAGATATTCCTCCAAAGAACACCAAGAAACCAGCTCAAACGAAGGATCTGCAATGGCCATCTTGATGCGTGAGTGTGGAACGGAAATCCCAGAGAGAGACTCTCTCAACACGCATTTTATTATTTTCTTCATACAAGTAATTCTTTGATTTCACATGATGTGATTGGGTGTTTTGTATTTCATTGGGTACCGATTGTCTTTTTCAGATTCACCCATTTTTTTATAGAAAAAGGCGGCTTATATTGATAAAAGAACATTCAGCGAGGCATAACAAAGATAAAGAAACCACTCCCAACCATCAACCCTCGAACCAGCCGGAGAACCAATCACCCTAGACAGAGCAATATGATTCACTGATCCTATAAAGGGTCTACATGAGCCTATCATGGCCAAAGCAGAATCCTCATCATCCCCACCTAATGTAAGAGTTCGCAAACAAAAAACAACAGAAACAAAAACAACCATGTTCTTGGAAACCAACAACCAAAAGAAATAAATAAAAAACGTGTAAATTAAGCCGAATTTTGATCACCACGAACAAGCTCTAACATCCTCCCTTTTCTGCAGAAATCATCAGCCCTCGCGGCGGGTTTGGGAGCCCACAAAATTCTTTATGGTACCAGGTGGTTCTGGAGGAGGACGAGCTCTACCAACGTTTATGCACTCTAGAAGAAAGCAGACAGAAACCTCTGACCAGACGCAGCTAGCCAGAACACGAACATAACTCCCCACATCGAGAGAGACAAACCACCCCGGAGCACCAGTGCCCGAGAAAGAACCGCCATAGAACAAAATCAACACAAACAGAAGAGAATAACAATCCAATTGGATCATACCTCTATTAACAATCTCTAAGTGTTGATGTCACCATCGGATAGTTGGATCACTGGATTGAGATACACAGGTCGAGAAGATGTAATTAATGGGAGAAAGCTAATGAAAGATTGGCTTGAATTGATCAGATCGAGCTTCGCGGAGCTAGGGTTAGTTGCCGCATGTTCGTCTCTCTTAGCCACAATTAGATTCACCCAATTTTAAAAATGCACATTTTTTATCTGCTCTAGAACAATTTATCAGTTTAGTCAAATCTTTTTCTTCATCATCAAAGCTCAAATTTGAGTATGCCAATCCAATTTGTATAAGACACACACATATAAGCTATATTGTCCAGCATGCTTGTGTATCTGAGAATGCTTATTGCATTTATTACACTTCTTTAGAAAAAGATGCCACTCAACATCAAAAGATTTCAGGCCATTGTGAAAAAATGGATGTTGTGAAACTTTATGTATTGTTTAGTGTGTTGAAAAAATGTGTTAAATTGCATTAAATGGTAATTTTGGGGCAATAAGTTGGTCCACTTCCGATTTGGGTCGGGTCAAAGTGGTTTCGGATTGTTCTTGTTAAGGGCTACAATTCGATATGTGGTACGCTTAAAACGGATAACGGGTGAAAGAGAAATTGATTCTCGAAGTTTACCCGTTAGAATGGGAAAACTGGGAAAAAGGATGGGTTTCTAGTGTGTTATTTCCCACACAGGAAAACCCAAGGGATTTGCAACCCTTTATAAAGGGACTCCCCCCTTAAGGAGTTAAGATTCCTAAGGGTAAAGGCTCTCTCCACGCGCGGGGGGGGGGGGGGGGGGTGCAAATCAAATCCCGAAATCGGAGAAGAAAAACCGCGACTTGCGTGCGCGGGCGACCTGCGGACACGAATGTCGGCCAAAAATCTATCTCTCAAGAGATACAGTTAATTTTTGTTTTCTTCCCGAAATGGGGTCTTCTGTGATATTCAGAACCGCTCATGGGGTCTTCTGTTGGCCTCGGAACAGAACCCCTCACAGGGTGTTCTGTTGGGAGGTCTTCTGTCGCGCATCTGAACCGTTACAACAATTAATGCCCAACGTTCTTATCTTTTAATGCAACGTTAAATGGACAGTTCATGGACGTTAAATGGACAGTTACAACAACCATTGATGTCCAACGTTCAGGTCCATTAATTCACCATTTACACACAACAAATCCTCCTATATAATTGCTGGCAGGTGGTTTGCAACAACACACGTTGACACACACGTTCATACACATTCCTCACGTATTTCTGAGCTCTAAAACACCTCCAGCATTCCGAAAATTTCCCGAGTGTTCAGTCTTTGTTCTTGCTCGCTGGAACTTTTGTTTGTGTGCTCAAACATAAGTTCGTAATCATCGTATCCTGGGAAACTATTGTTGCAACGCTCCTACCACCGTGGGAGGCAACAAATACGTTTTAAGGACATTGTGCGTAGCACGAGCTTTGACTAATTTCTGCTCCATCTTATTTTTGTTTTCTTTCGTCATTTTAATTAATTTATTTTAATTAATTTTCTTTATTTCCCGAAACACACCCAACAATCTTAAAACGTATTTGGTTGCTAAGTTTGTATCACACGGACACAATCTTAAAAACGTAGTTTGTCACTTTTGTGAACGAACTTAAATCTTTTTGTGTTTTTCGGAAAAACGTTAAGAAAACAAAAATGGCTTCTCAAGAAAATCAGAATGTTGTTGTGCAGAATGTGCCGAACGATAATCACTCTGAAAGCGGTGCATCTGCTTTGGGCAACCAATGGGCAATCCCTATGGTTACCGTGCCAAGCAACTCTGTGGAGAAACTCGAAAAATTCAATGGGTTAACCTTATAGAAAAAATTCTATAAGGTTAGAAAATAATGTTTTTTGAAGTTGCTCGGAATCACGATCTGGTAATACCATTGGGTTCGTCTCGCCGAGAGGAAAATTTTGATATTTTCCGGCAACCAAACGACCACCAGAAACCGCAGCACGCGCCGACACGCGCAAGCGAGTTGGAGAAAGTCACGGCACGCCGCCGCATGCTTCGCCTGAAAGAAGAAGATGACCATGTCGGCGCCACATGTCGTCCATGTTAGCGGCACGTCACGCTGAGTCTGTGCATGTCAGCCGCCACGTCATCCGAACAAGCCATCCGCTCCGAAGCCACGTCATCTGCCATGTGTCGCTACGTCAGCGCAAGCGCAGAGCCATATTTTAACATGTGTCTGCCTGCGTGTCTATAGACTGGGCTGCTGCCTGAACCTGACCGAACCGGTTACAACTTGACAAGCCTGGTTGGGTGATATCCAAACCGGTTTTGGACCGGTTCCTACCATTTTTTACCATTTCGGAGTCAACAGTGTCCAAATTAGGCATCAAAAATAAGTTAAGAGATATATTGAGCACTTTATTATGGAAAAAACATCATCATACACCATGATTGCGCTCACTTCCACAAACTACAATATGTGAAAGCCTCGAATGGAGGATTTGCTAAATTTGAGGGATTTAGCTGATCCTCTTGATAATAATGGTGCCAAACCGGATAAGAAGATGGAAGAAGAATGGAGTAAGATGAAGCGAAAAACTGTCGCACAAATTCGACAATGGATCGATCATATTGTGTTCCACCATGTTGCTCAAGAACAAAGTGCTTACACGATATGGGAGAAGTTTGGTAGCATGTATCAAGCAAAAACCGCACGAATTTGAGATTGTAATGTTTTTACATGTGTAATTGCGCGAAGAGATTGGTTAGAGTGTTATTTGTTTATATAATTGTTTTATCATCTCCTATTTGTTTTGTATTTATTTCTTTTTGGTTGAGTTGAGAAAACTATGATCAGTGACTCTAATCATCAATTTTGTCAGAGTGACAGCCATGAATCATAGGACATAGTAGAGGCTAGGGCTTGGGGGCATGGTTTTATATCTAATAATAAGTTTATATTTAGTGCAAAAATGTAATTGTAAAACTTTATAAATTATACCGCATGAGAAAAAATTTGTAATGAAATGGTTTAATCTTTCAAATTAGAGAAAAAATGATAGAGTTATGTAAAGTCACTTAAGAGGAGAATATGAAAGAACCAAGATAAAAGCAAAAAATTGATAAAACGGTAAAAAATTGATCACGGGTACAGTACACACGCATGGAAGACGCATATCTACCAGGCCAAAGAAGTTTATTGTCTTCATAACATAATAAAACTATATAGTACCGATATTTAGCATATCAATATAAATATAATTATATATTAAATATATAGTACGTAGTAGTATATAGTTCCTCCGTTCTCATTAAGTTGCAGGGACGTCTTTTAGCATGTTAATTAGGTTAAACAGAACAAGGTCCTACTTCCCTAGGGGCCCATATTTATAGTGAACTAGTAGTAGTATTTTGAGGCCACTAACATATAATATAATATAATATAATATAATATAATATAATATAATATAATATAATATAATATAATATAATATAATATAATATAATATAATATAATATAATATAATATAATATAATATAATATAATATAATATAATATAATATAATATAATATAATATAATATAATATAATATAATATAATATAATATAATATAATATAATATAATATAATATAATATAATATAATATAATATAATATAATATAATATAATATAATATAATACTCCCTCCGTCCCAATTTGTAAGATACATTTCGGTTTACGACGTTTGACTGACGATAAAGCAAATTGATCCCTGTCAACACCCAAATTAGTTCTAGAAAATAAAATTTGCATATTCAAAAACTACATTAAATCCGCTACAAAACCTGCAAAAAATAATTCAAACTTCATAAACTTTTGATATATAAAATAAAAGTTTAGGAGTGATTTATGTTGACCAAGTGAATAGTAAATGTATCTTACAATTTGGGACTGAGGGAGTATAATATAATATAATATAATATAATATAATATAATATAATATAATATAATATAATATAATATAATATAATATAATATAATATAATATAATATAATATAATATAATATAATATAATATAATATAATATAATATAATATAATATAATATAATATAATATAATATAATATAATATAATGTAATGTAATGTAATGTAATGTAATGTAATGTAATGTAATGTAATGTAATGTAATGTAATGTAATGTAATGTAATGTAATGTAACATAACATAACATAACATAACATAACATAACATAACATAACATAACATAACATAACATAACATAACATAACATAACATAACATAACATAACATAACATAACATAACATAACATAACATAACATAACATAACATAACATACTACGTAATATAATAGTGTATACTATCGTATATGAATATGGCCTGCAGGTAAATTCATACTCCACTACTCCGTATAATAATGCCCTCATAAATTGAAATACCTTACAAAAAATTGTAGAGCTTAATAATCTGAAAGGGAAAAATTGCTACCTGTATTTTTTTAATTGTATTATTTAATGAGTATTTAATTGATTTGAGTATAATAAGAATTTAGATTGAGAATATTTTTTAGTTTTTTATATTAAAGTGGGGCCTCAAATTTGCATTTTAAACCGGGGCCTCCATGTTCATTAGATGACCTTGTTTAGTTGCAACAATCCACTTTTCATGTTTGCCGATGCATATCTTTGATCATTAAAATAATTAATTTTTTTTAAAAAAAATAAAATAAAAACAGAAGGGATGTAATTCATACTCCCTTGTCCCAATTTGTTTTGCAAAATTTCCTATTCTGATTGTCCCAAAATGATTTTCCACTTTCCATTTCGGGTATAATAGTAGAATTGAAAAGTTTGGTTTACCCTTTCACTTTATCTATCCCACCCACCTCATTTAGCCACATCAAAAAATTGGATTGGACACTACTGTAGGTTTTGTACTTCATTTCAGCATTTGTAATGCTTCTTACTAGGCTGTGGTACGGTTAAAGTGTTTTTCAATTGTACTTTTCCACTTTTGAGTTTTTTCTTTATTTTACTTGGCATGAGACAAGGGCAAAATAGAAAATACAATATAAATTTATAAGTTTTCTTAATCGCGCGTCGGTCAAAGTTGCAACTCAATTCGGGATGGAGGATTATAAGCTAAGACTTGTGAATATAGAATGTGACAAGTACGAGTATTTGATTGTGTCAATCAAAGAGCTAGCGCAGCTTTTATATGAGCTGCTAGAGAGGTTGTTATTATTTAAGTAAAATAAAAGCAGCTTGTATTACTGAAACAGAACTCTGCATGCTACCTAGGTAGGTAGTTTGAATATACGTAGTAATTAATAAAGTAAAAACTGTGTGGTTGAAGTTTGTGCAGAGGGAAGAGAATTAATTGGAACCACAAATTTTTATTAAAAGGGAAAGTGGTGAAGGTAGGAAGACATACAAAAAAGGAAAGTTGACAAAGTTTTAAGGATAGAGGGAGTAATATAATATATTATGGTGTGATGAAGTAGAATAGGCAAGTGCATGCATGCATGGTTTCGGAACGAAGCTGGTGTACGTCATCACCTACATACATAATTTGAAGTGATGAAGCACCAGCTGAGGCACGAAACTAACTTATCCCCTATATAAATATCATCACCCAGGCCAATTCAATGCCGATGGATCGACTAGCTGCCCTGCAGGATCGTGTGAAGGAAGGTTTCATCAAACAATATGCCGCCGCCGTCATTATCCCACACGGGAATATGGCAGAAAGGGTCGTCGCCCCCAAACATCATTAGAGGCGAAGGCAAGAAGTTGTTGCCTGTCGCCGCCGTCATGGATGAATATGATGTGTTGCCCATCTGCATCCATGAATCCTCCTCCTCCTCCTTTATCATCAATTCCTCTTCTTCTTCTCCTTTATCATCCACAATAATAATTCCTCCTTTATCATTATTATTATTATTATTAGGTGGTGATGAAATCATATTATGAATGTGATTGTCGTCGTCCAGCACCCCCAGCTGATGAGGCGGCGGCAATGTGGTCTTCTTCAGTATTCTCCTCCTCCGCCTCTTGTTGAGATGCGTGTTCCAGAAATTCTTGACCTCGTTGTCAGTCCGGCCGGGGAGTCTGCCTGCAATGAGCGACCATCTGTTGCCCAGAAGTTTATGCATTCGGATGATGAGATCCTTTTCGTCTGCGGACATCATCCCACGCTTTATGTCTGGCCTCAAGTAATTTTTCCATCTCAGCCTGCAGCTCTTCCCGCTTCTCATCAAACCTGCAGGATGCATATATGGAATTTAATTTAATTTAAAGAAAAAGTGCGGGCATGGCCGGGACGACAATATAATATATAATCTTAATTAAGGAAAATTATCGGTCCAGGACCCGAAAGATGAGCGTATTATCAATTTGGGACCCGAAAGATAATTTCAATCAATAAGGGACCCGAAAGATTGTAATCTATCGATTCAGGACCTGAAAATTTAACACCGTTAGTTTGTCCCTAACGGAATATGACGTGGCACGTCATCGCATACAATATTTTTTTAAGCATCATCGCATAAAATTATTAGAAAACAGAGTCGCATATATAGAGAAAAAACAAATACTACGATCAATCACGGAAGCCGCCCTTTTCTTTTACATACAAAGAGCCCCATTATCGCACACAAGAGGATCCGTTTCTTCACAACTGCATCTTCACAACCTTGAGAGAATTTTATCCGGGTGAGTATTTCATCTTTACAAGCTCTTTTTACTTTTACATAATTATGCAAATTTTATCAAACAAGAAAGCTTGAACTGTAATGGATCATCATATTATATTTAATCCTAATTCTCACTTTATCTTCTTATTGTTTGATTAATTTCAATAGATACATAATTTATTTATTGATCTCATCAAATTGAATAAAATCATATTTAGGAGGCCTTGTTCAACCCAACGTTGCAAACATGTTCTTAAATAAGGTATACAAGCTAAATATATATATAAATGCAATACTATTTAAGGCAAACCTTCACATAAAGTTCAGAGCACTGCTCTAACTAACAACTTGAAGTTATCTATTTAAGGCAAACCTAAGTAGTAATTCCATATATTGTTAACGGATAATTCCACAATAAATCAAAAGGGAAATTTATAACATGCACATAGAGTCAGATTAAGTCACAGAGACATAAAAAAAGACATGATAAAAGTCACCTGCATATAAATCACTTGCATATAAACCATCAAACAATGATGACTATTGAAGTTTAAACATTCTAAGGTAATGTTTTTCCCTTTCCAGATGGACGCAGGAGAGTTAGATGAATGGAGCTTAGAAAAATATCACACTGATGATGATAACCAATCAACTGGTTACTCACCACCCATAGTTGATAGAGCTGCTCATAATCATTTAGGTGAGGCAACAAACTTTTCTGATTTTTCTGAGGCAGATACGATACAATCTTTGACGGAATTGAAAAGCATTCACGAATCTGAATCTGAATCTAGCGGAGATGAAGTGAATTCTGCTCATATTCAACCTAGCCAAAGGGAAGACTCCTTCAAATTGGAGCAATCATTTGCATCCATTTATGATTTTTACGAAGCTGTTAGAAGCTATGGGGTCCAAAATATGTATAAACTGAACTTTGTAAAGAAAGACAAGATAAGATGTCGAGTTAAGTGTGTGGAGAGTTGTCCGTGGCTTATATGCTGTTCAAAAGTTGGAAATTTAGAAACTTAAAAGGTCAAAACATTCATCTCCAATCATAGTTGTCAAAAGACGGAAGTGAAAGAGAAGTTTGCTAACACCAAGTGGTTGGGCAGTAAGTTAATTGAGGACTTCAGACAACATCCAAAAATGACAGGAGAAGAAGTGAAAGATCTTACACATAAAAAATATAATGTCACAATTAGTATCGCAAAAGCTTACAGGGTAAAAGCATGTGCTCTCCAATCACTCGATGGCAATGTCGCTCAACAATATTCACGGCTACCAGATTATTGTGAGGAGTTGCTGAAGACTAATCCTGGATCTACTATCGAACTATTGTGTCCAAAGCAAGGAAATAGTGATCCACCCAGATTTGATAGAATATACATATGCATAGATGCTTGTAAAAAAGGGTTTGTAAGTGGGTGTCGACCACTAATTGCAATAGATGGGTGTCATTTGAACGGATACTATTGTGGTCAACTTTTAGCTGCTGTGGGTCTTGATGGAAACAATGGCCTATTCATTATAGCGTATGCAATAGTAGGGTCTGAGACTAGAGAGACATGGCAATGGTTCTTAAATAAGTTGTTGACTGATCTTGGGCAAACATCTATGTATGGAGAGAGATGGACATTTATTTCTGATCAAGGGAAGGTAAATATTAACTAATTTCATTATTTTATTACTTATATACATGCTTTAAAAATTGCTTAAACTTTTTCTTTGTTGATAGGGTCTTGTGGCTGCACTTGAAGAAGTATACCCTTCTACATATCATCGTTTTTGCGTGCGTCATATGTATACCAATTTTCAGAAAAAGTGGAAGGACGAACAAGTTAGATCACTATTTTGGTTAGCTGCAAAATCCACTATGGTGGGTGACTTTGAAAAATATATGAATAAGATGAAGGATAAGGAATATGGTGCATGGGAACATCTCACTGAAATATGTGTTGAGAGATGGAGTAGAGCACATTTTCAAAGTCATGTCAAGTGTCACGTGTTCTCAAGTAGCATCATTGAGTGCTTCAATGGAGTTCTAAAAAGGTATCGAGAGAACCACGTGGATATCCTAATTGATAACATAAGGATTAAAGCAATGAATCTCATGAGAAAAAAAAACAAAAAGGATGAGGACTAAGGGTGGCTTAATATGTCCAGACATACTGAAGAAATTGAATGCTTGCATTATGGAATCTACTAAGGGGTTGCAATTTCGTGTGGTGAAGTGATATTTGAAGTTACACTACGACCTAAAAGGTTTGTTGTTCACCTTGAGCACCACACATGTACTTGTAGGTTATGGGACTTGACATGTGTTCCTTGTGTTCATGCTTGTGCTGCTATAAATTCAGTGAAGGGAAGACCAGAAAACTATGTGCACAGATATTTTACACAAGAGTACTTTTTCAGGGCTTATGAGTATGAAATACATCCAATGGAGAGTCCTCATTTTTTTCCTAAACCTGATCATGAGCTCATTCAGCCACCATTATTAAGGAGACCACCAGGGAGACCAAAAAAGCAGCGACACAAATCATCATTAGAAGGCAGGGATCCTCATAAAGCAAAAAGAAAATATGGGACGATTAAGTGTGGTAAATGTAAGCAGTTTGGACATAACAAAAGGTCATGCAAAGAAAATGAACAAGTATGACTTTTTTCCCTCCTACTATACAAATATATAGACACACGATTATACATGTTTGTGTGTTTTATGTTAATACTTTTCTTGACAGGTAATATCTTGATGTTGTTCGAGAGAAGAAACTCACCAGTTCATCATGGAAGAAGCAGATCGAGATTGATTCATATAGATTACATATAGGGTGTTTCATTTTGATCTTTGTTAGGATTAAAGACTATTTGAATTAAATATATTCAGTTTTAGTTTGTTCTAAGAAGATATCTTTGAATCACAAATTGTTATTCATACTTAGTCTGCTGCAATTTCATGTACTAAAATGGAAAAATCATGCTTAAGGGTAGACCTTGAGGAGTCAAATTTCAATTTACACCTCTATGAAATCTATTTGAAACCATGATTGTCTGACCAAGCTAATAGTTATCGAACAACTGGTTTGTTTAGTAAGGATACAGTGAAGGTCTCATACATTACATAAATTAAATGACTAAATAAAGGCATCTGCTCTCAACTTCATAAATGTATCAAATAATAGCTCTCTTTTTATATTCACACTGTGATGAAAAAAATATGCTTAAGAGTAGACCTTGAGGAGTCTAATATCTATTTACACCTCTATGAAAACTATTTAAAATCATGATTGACAGACCAAGTTAATAGTTATCAAACAACTGGTTTGTTTAGTAATGATATAGTGAATGTCTCATACATTACGTAAATTAAATGACTAAATAAAGGCATCTGATCTCCACTTCATAACTAGATCAAATATCAGCTCTTTTTTTATTCACGCGTGTAACTGACATGCGATGTGTGGATGAAAACTATGAAAATTATAACCCAAAGTGGAAGTGAGAGCACTGGAATGAGCTTAGTTTTGCAAAGATACATAACTGACTTAGTTTGCTGAATATCTACTTTAAATCAAAACACAATGGTTGATTATGTCTACAAATGTATGAGAATCTTTAAGGTGGAAGCATACCATGACATAGAGGTTGGTTATCTGGCATTCTGGCCTTACGAAATCACAAGAGTATTCCAATTATTACTACTTTTAACATTTCCCATTGAATAAAGTAATAATATTATTCCAACGCTATGCATTTTATATAGCACATCAAACAAATGAAATTGAATATAACTAATAACAAATCCTAGAAGAAGGAACACCCGAATCTTATAAGCATAGATTCAGTTTGTACTCTTTATTATATTCTTGGATTCCTATATTCTTCTAAAGATTTACAATTATTGGAATGCCCTGATTAACAAAAACCATGAAGTGGGTCTTGGGATTTTAATCTTATACGATTTATTTTATTCATCAAATTTATCTGGCTAAAATGCTACTCACAGATGTCAATCCCAAATTAGCAAACAAGTTAAGATACACTTTATTAGGATATATTCGAGAATTTGGATGTTAGCTGTGGGATTGTGAAACTAAAAGTCCAAAATTAAGACAACACCAGAGGATTTATTTAACCTCAAATATCATTAACAGGCTTATCTAAAATTGATAAAAATCAGTTTCTACAGAAATTAACATATTGGAGTGTAAAGAATAAACGATTACTCTCTTTATCTAGCTCTGTAACTTTCAACCATTTCTAATTACATCTTCTCTCTAGTTTCACAATTTAAAATATTGCACAATTTCCATAAAAATAAAACATTAAGAACTTCAAAAAGTAGGCAATCTTTCAACAAATCATTGATTATTCACCAGAGGATCAAATGGTTAGTAATAGTAATGTCAAAATTTACCTGTGAAGAAAGTTTTGAAGAGCTTCTCCTCGTTGGCCGCTATATTTTCTAGTCACTGCATCAAAACAGCAGCTGAGGAAGAAGAGGTTGGATGAGTGGGCTCGAAAAGCGACGAACATTGAAGGTGAGGTTTCCTGGAATTGATTAGGAGCCCGGCGAGATATAAGTTTCAGGTAGATTCTTGAGGGCGAGTGATTAAAAAGAAGTTGTGAGGACGGTCGGAAAAAATGAAGATATACAAGGAAGATGAAATGAGTGACGTGGTGGTGGGTTTAGAAATCATACATGCCGAGTCATACATTTTGACGCGCCACGTCATATTCCGTTAGGGACAAACTAACGGTGTTAAATTTTCAGGTCCTGAATCGATAGATTACGATCTTTCGGGTCCCTTATTGATTGAAATTATCTTTCGGGTCCCAAATCGATAATACGCTCATCTTTCGGGTCCTGGACCGATAATTTTCCCTTAATTAATTAAGGAATTAGTAAGCGCGCATGCAGATGTAGGGAGGGACGGAAGTAAGTAAGGTAATTAATTACCTGATTGGGCAGAGATGGTAGCCCAATTGCCCTCCCCGTGTGTCTCTACGCATTTCTTGAGAGCCACATCCTCTTCAGCACTCCAAAACCCTCTCTTCAAACGGCCGCCTACGGCTGTCCGCTGCTTCATCACTAATAATAATTCTTTTCCATTCATTACTCCATCCCCTCGCCGGCCTCTTCTATTCAAACGTACCTAGCTATACTACACCTCATCTCATCAACTGTTTCACTTTAATAAAAATGGGGTTTGAACGGTGGGTAGATGATCCAGCCAGCCGGCCAGGCCTGCATCATTCACTTTATTGCATGTTTTTCTTTTTCGTAATAATAATAAATAAATGCCGCAACTTTTCAGCTCACCTCTTTACTAAAGCTCATTTCTACCTGCTCCACTTCACTTGCCAACCCCACCGAATATAATCTATCCCCCAGGCCTCACCCTTATCGCTACGTACCATGCATAATAATTTAAGCCTATTCCATCTACAAATTATTGGAGCTCCGCTACCTACTACTCGATCGTATATGCATACTACGTATATACTGCATATATATTGCTAATTACAAATTCTCCTACTGTCAACTCCCGTACTCATTTAACAAATAAATGAGGTATCGTACCCGACTATCATTCACTTGATTGTTCCAAATCATTATACTACGTATCATTTTTAATTTAGATTTAAATAAGGAAAAATTCCCAAGATATGACTAAAACATATTGAGTTTCTCAAAATATGAGTAGCTATGTTTTTTTCCCGGAGTATGACTAAAAATCGAAAAAAAAAAAATTGTCATATTATAATGTGGAAGGACAAAAATGTCCTTATTTAAAAAAGATGCATTTTGCACTAATTTCAGCCGTGTAAATATATTGTACTTTATGAACGCGTTATCGCACAACATTTATACCACTTTATGACGGCATTCACTGCACAACATATAATGCACTTCATGCACTTAAGTTATGGTACTTCAGTTTGTCCTTTTTTAGTTTTGATAATTTTAATTTTTACGTTTAATTAAATCCAATGCACGTACTCCGTGCGAGACTTATGACAAAACATTACAAAAATGTTAGCATTTTATAATTTTTTAGATTTGATATTTGCAGTTTATATCAATGTTAATGCTCTACATTATTGCACTTTTTGTCAAAATCACTTTATATATGGTCATATCATTGCACTTCTTTGTCATAATCATTGCACTTCTTGTGATATTCACGGCATTACATAAAAAATATTCATTGCACACTATCCTCAATCGTCTTCAACCTAGGGTTCTTCTTCAAACTTGGGTTCGTCTTCCACCTCGACCGTCTTGCTGAAGAATCTGAGTTGTTGGAGCGGCAGTCCGGCCATCACCATTCTTTGGCAACATTAATTATTACCCTAATTTCATTAAATAGAAGAAGAACCCAACAAACCGTAATCTCAAGCGGCAAGAGATCAAGCACGCTGGTTGACGGAGGCACGAGGCAACTGTGAGGCGGGACGGCGGCGGCCAGGGCAAGGTCGGCGGTGGTGGCGAGTGCGGGCTGGACGTACGAAGGAGGAGAACACGCGACTGTGCAGTTAGACGGAGGTGATGAGAAGGCGGACGTACGGCAAGCCATCGGCTGGGCGGTGGCGGGGCGACAGAGGTAGGTGGCGGCTAGGTGGAGGCTGGGCGGCGGCGGGGCAGCAGCGGCAGGCAGGTGTGTGTGAGTAGTGGGAAGCTAGAGGCTAGGGTTGGAGAAAAAGAGTAAAAAGTTAGGGTTTTATAGACTTAACCTAAGGGGTATATTAGTCAATAAAAATTAATTATTTAATTATTAATTACGAAATTAATTAAATATAATTAATTTAAATATTATTTTGGGAAAAAAACTAGTTAGGTCATAGATTGGGAAAGTGGGGAAGTTTTACTCATACAAGGGATAATTATTTCTTTAAATAATTCAACTACAACATTCTAATTAACCCATGTGGATAAAAAGTATGGTACCTTGTGAGTACTGTACCATAGAATCTACCTTCTCCTATATATATCTTCATTACCATTTCCATCACTAATCCGCCCGGCCAACACTGCAGATTACGAATTGATTCACGTTATCTTATCTATCACTACACCTCTGAAAATCTAAGGGTAATTTGATGTATATTCAGAGGAAATTAAATTGATGAATCGAAATCGAAAACACACTTTTTTATACAAATCTTTTTTATTTTTATTTTTTTTATCGTAAGAACGTGGTTATATCATTAAAATAGCATTCACCAGGGATACAAGAACGTGAAAGGACCACATGTAACCATCCACCCTTGGCCGAGACTCTGAGTTAATCACCTTTGACAAAGCAATATAACTCGCTACACCTAACTCGGGCAATATAAAGCAAACAACGATTGCCATAAACCTCTCATCCCCTAAACCTAATACAAGAGTCTTACAGCATAAAACAAAACAACAACAACACACAAACTCTTAACTTGGAAATTAAAATGCAGAAAAGATAAATAAGCAAACTCCAAAACGCGTCGATCAACCCTTGGCGGTGGTTCCGGAGGAGGCCGGACCCTCGCAACGATTGTTGTTGCACCAGAGCGGTTTTCCTCCGACTCGACCGCCTCTTCTTCATCATCATCAATCGCCAATTCGTTCTTGTCCTTTTGTTTACCGCTGATCTGCTCTTGGAATTTGTCTGTACCTTGCACTGCTCGGCTCTCCTCAGCTGCGTGAAATTGATCTCCAATCCCCCGCTTACCAACTCTAGTCACCAGGAACCCCAACTGCTCTTTAGATTCATCCTCTTCCCCTGCATCTTCTACATCGAAATCCAGTTCATTCTCTGCCTCCCCAATAGCCATCTTCCTATAATTGTTGACAATATATCTTCCATCGACTACCTCTGTCTCGGACCCTTCTCTTTGTTCGTCCTCAGCCGAAGCGAAGCAGTAGACTCCGATCCCTCACACCACGCCCCAGCCCTCAGACACACGCCGGTCACCTGCTGTCTCGGCATGAAAACGTCAAAGCAAACAAGAAAGCCGATCTTCAATCGATGAGATAAAAATCGGAAAAAATGGCCTAGCGGCTCACGCCCTAGGAAAAATCGGAGCTTTTTGCCTACCGGTAAGCGGTTTATTGTTAAAAAATAAAGTATGAAATCAAGAATGTACAAATCTTTTTTTTATTAAAAATGTAATCTCATGTTTTATCATTTTTTTTAATTTATTAGAATTTTATTACCAACGGTACAAAATGACGATGAAAGAAAGCCAATAAAACAAAAAAAAAGTTAGTAAACAAAACTACTAATGAGTGAACAATCCAAATAAGGCCCTGCAAATCCACCAACCTTCAAATCCGATCCATGAACAAAATCTCCCGTCGAATTGTATTGTGTTTCCCGTAAGAGATGAAATCCCCAAAATATCCATAAGATAATTCTATAAATATAGAAGGGACCCTATGTTTCAGCCAATTTTTTAGCCTAGAGATGAGCACTCTGTCGAGGGGTAGCAATCTAGAACAAGATGAGTCACATTCCGTGTCACCAACACGATCTAGTAGCTCACGATAAGAAAGTATCCGTTGAATAGGCGTAACTTCATGATTTTCAGTTTGTAAATCTTCTGTTTGTAAATCTTCTGTTTGAAAATTCTTCTGTTTTGTTATGTATTTTCTGCTCTTCAAGATTGTCTTGTAGACCACTTTGATATTATGTTTGTTTCTTCCTTTATGAATTCATTTGTTACTCAAATTGACCCATTTTGTGCTCAATTGACCCGAAATTTCACCAAACATATTATGAATGTGATTTTCACCTGATTTAATGAAACTTGAACCAAAATATTTAAAACATGTCTTGTTTTTCTATTTTCTGTCCAAAAATCGCTCAAACATGGTGAAAAAATAAGTACAAAAATGGACTTATCAATCTCCTCACACTTAAGTGTTGATTGTCGATCCTCAAGCGACAAATCAGTTGCAAACACACTCAAAAGGTAAAACCTGACTATATTACAATCGCGTTGCTATTAAAGAAATAGAAACAAACACCTCTTCTTTTATTTTCAATTTTTAAACTTTTTAGAAAAATCACCCAAAATACAAGAATTTAAAATTTTTATCATTTTAAAAAAAACTATTGATTATGTTAAACCACCAATCAATTCCTTATCCCAAGGTTTTCATTATTGTAATTTGTACATTCATTTTGTTCATCAATTTTCTTTTTGCCTCTTTTTTCACTCTAGTTGGCGGTGTTATCCCATGGTAAATGCATACTTCATTCTCAGAGACTATGATTAACGAATGAAACAAAGCCCGTTTTCGGAGATTGAATTGTCCTATAACAATGAGTTTTGAAGAGTTTTATTAATAGTAACATTTTTTGTTTGTTTTAATGAATAAAATTAATGTCCAATTAAAACAATTAAATTCAGCCCTTTACATTTGCAACCAAAAAATTCATAACAATTTCAAGTTTTCTTGAAAATAAAAATAAAAGTAAATTCTTATAATAGAGTTGGATTCTCTAAGCTATTACGTGATTGATAGCAAATTGAGAAATTAATGTTTCATATAAAAAATAGTAAAAAGATTGTTTTAAAACAAGGTTTTAACTTTTGAGTGTAAAACGCAACCTCCTCACACTTGAGCTGGACCTCGCCCTCGAGGTCTCTTTTTGAGGCACGAAGTATTGAAATAAAGGCACATTTTTTTGGTTCTCTCCTCACACGTGAGTTTTGAAAAGATTTTGTGAAGGGGAACAATGAAATAGGAATAAAATGGTTTTAAAAATATCCTTACATCATCCATAGTCAGTTTGTAAGAGCGTTTAAGTCAAAAAAGCAACGCAATGTCCAACCTGAATAAACAAACAAACACAATAAAATGTTAAGGAAGAAACAAAAACTAAGCATCGCATGTGTCATCCTGTGGGCCATAGTCGGGACTAAGCCAATCTTTTATCTCATCAATATCAGTCTACTGAGTCTCTATCCGTTGGCGCATTTGCCTGATGGCGACCTCCTATGCCAATCGATAGTCTCGGAACTCTGCTAGGGTCGCAGTCTGTGTATCTCGCATCTCCCTAATGGCGACCTCCTGTGTTCACTACAAGAAAATTCTATTTGGGCAACAAACTCAATTTGTATGGGCCACAGATTTCTATATCCTTGCACATGATTAATATTTTGGGCAACACAAATTCTTCTGTTGCTTTTGTATTATCTTAGGGCAACAAGTTGATAAATTTGTTGTACAAAATAAATTTTGGGCTAGTAACTCAAATTTCATAGCACAAAATTCAAATTGGGCCACTAAATTGATTTTCACCGTTGCACATACTACTTTTTAAAATTTAGAGAGCAGCTGCCTAACTGGAGTGCCTGTATCCTACACCCGGATGTAGGTACATCCAGCCCAATTGAAGAAGACAGCCCATTAGCTAATATATGTCATTTTATTTTCGGTGGCGTTTTTGTAATTTAAGCAAAAAATCGTGGCTTCAGCTAAATGAGTATTTGTGTACTTTTAATGAGCAATATTCCAATTTTAATGAGTATTAAGCCTCTAATAATGAGCATCGTGTTATTACAAGAAATCTGATATCACAACTATAAAACGGTGGTATTTTCATAATTTCAGTGAAAATCGCGGTTTTCGTTATATGAGCATTAATACACTTTTAATGAACATCGGAAGTATTCTACTGAGCATTAAGAGTCAAATAATGAGTATTGTGATATCAACTTCATATATTGTAATTCACTTTCTTTTTCTTAAATTTTCTTTTATAAAAACTTATAAAATTATATGTGTAATCAACTACTATGAACTTCAATATGCAAATTTAATGTACCATGATACTTTTGAAATATGCACTAATATGATATTTTGAAAATGGGCATAAAATGAGTATCAATTGAACAAATGTAACCTACAAAATGAGCATTGATATGAAAATCACGAGTATTTTTAGTTGAACATCAAAACATTTTCATTGATCATCAAACTTTCACTATTGAGTATTATAAACATGCAACTGAGTATCATTGTATGTGCTCCCGTATCTAAATCAAGTTTTACGTGAATCTAATATAGTATGATACTTCTGAAATGTGCATCATATAACATTTTAAAATGAGTACAAAAATTGATATCAAATGAGCACGCGTGACTTACAAAATGAGTCCAATATTTGAATCTAATCTAATATTATACTTTTGAAATATGCATGTATATGACATTTTAATATTAAATGAGAATAAAATGTGAATCTAATGTAGTATGATACTTTTGAAATATGAATTGATCTGACATTTTTAAATGAGCATAACATCATTACCAAATGAGCATATATAAGTTATAAAATGAGCATGTATATGAAAATCGTAAGTTTTGTTAGTTGAACATGAAGATATTTTCTTTGAACACTGGAACTTCTCTATTGAGTATTAAAACAATTCAATTAAGTATCGTGATCTCTGCTCATAGTACCAAATAAGCATACATAACTTACGAAATGAGCAACGAAAAAAATACAAAAAGTTTATTTAAAATCTACAGTACGATCAAATTTGTAGTGTACTTCATTTGAATTTTCTAATATGCTCAAATTTTCTATTGTGTATGCTCATATGATTTTTCTAATGTGCTCATATATTCATTATGAACACTCAATATGAATATGAATATGAACACTCATATTCATTATAACAATATACTCATTTTGAACATAGCGTAAAACTTATATTAGAAATTCATAAGCTGAAAGTTTTAAAACAAAATATAAAATATAATATTAAAGTATCATAGATATATTGATGAAAAGCAACAGAATTGATGGTTAGTGGGATTGTGGGGACGGTGAAAGGAAAGCGTAAATCAAGAAAAAAATGTTGGTGAAGAAGCTTCTCGTTGAGATTTGGATTGGCTGCCGCATGAAAAGAAAAGAAAGGAACGGAAAAGTAAGAAGAAGACCATCGATTTTTTGGGAGATAGGAACGCCCAGGTCGGCGGCTATTCACCACACCTCAGTGAACAACGCAGAACAGAGAAGAACAGAGCTCCGACCTTTACCATCGAAATTCTAATTAATTACAAAAATACCGGTTGTACGGTTCTCACCGTACAACCGGGCGTACGGTATAATTTGCCGCCTAACTGACTTTGAGAACGCTGAATAATACGAAGTATGACCTTTATCGGGTTCAACCTTCAATTTGTCCTCCCAACTCCCAAGGCAATGAGCGAGCTGCTTTGCGCTTCTGCTATTCATTCCTCCTCTACCACCATGTTTTAATTTTATGGACGAGGCAGGACATGTTCGATTGAAAGGGAAGATAAGTTACAAATGATGAAGAGAAGTAAATTAGCCGGTGAAGCTCCTAGTGAAATCCTCCCTGTTTTTGAGTTCCGGCGAATACAATTGAACTCCCCAGAAAAGGGCGGTCGATAAAGCTGAGCTAGGTCCGCTCGGATGCATTTGGTTAGCAATTGTATTTGATATAGGGCGGTCCGTAAAAGATCTCACAGGTGTCAACTCAAAATCCCCAAAACATCTAGGGTTTTTTGTCATTTTTTCGAAATTGTATTTGATATGGTGCGAATTAAACAAGTGCCATCATACTGTATCAGCAAAGATGTTGTGCTCTTCAGTCACCGTAACAATTTTCTTCTCCACCACAAAAACAGGACGGAGTGTTCTGGTTGTCCATGGAGGTTATTGAACTGATCAATTAAAGTGGAACAGTGGAAGCGGCAAAATGGTAAGTTGTTGCTTGTTTATACTCATGTTCAAAACTTCAATTTTGAAATTTGAATTGTAAGCATGTATTAATCTATTGCTCTTTGTGGTAAACTGGAAATTCCCTTGTTTGCTGGAATGTTCCTCAAGTATTAGTTTGGTTAAGTGTTGGACTGAATGAATAATGTTGGACAACCATTAAAACTGTTAAGTATACGGATCAGATTTAGCAGCTTAAAGAAAAGGTAAAGCTTTCAATTTTACCTTCCCTGTTAAGAGTGATCAGTTAGCTAGTTTATGTGCATAAACTTTCATCTTGACAAAGACATTAGTTTACTGTTTAGGCTTGCCATTCCTATTAGTGAATAACTAATTAATTAGTCTTTTTTAATTGTTAGTTTTTTTAATTGTTTATTAAAAAGTCTTAATTGTTAACTTATTGTATACTCCGTGTTTGATAGATGATCATTAATATTTATTTCCATTCAGGCCTTTATTCAGTGTGTGTTTATCTTTGTGGATTGACACTAATGCATGATGATAATCAATAATATTGTGTTTTCATGTTTATATTTTATCTCAGAACACAAGGGAAGCCACACATGCTATTAGGAAGCGGAGAGCTTGCTTGTTTCGGCCGCCAATAACATTGCTTTGGTCCTCTTCGTTCTCTCCCTGTTCTCCGTCTGCAAGAAGCAACCTTTCTATTCACCCGTATATTTCCCTCGGTCAGCACCCTTTCGCTTCGGGCAGCCCCTCGGCTCTGAGGCGGCCGCTTCCGTTTGTGGAGTGGATTCGATGTGCCGTTCGTGTTCCCGATGACCAGAATGGCAGATTCTCGAAACCCATGGCCTTGACATCCTCGTCTTCATTAGGATTTTCAAATTTGGGTACGAATTGAAGCTTTCCATTTCCAACCCCCATTCTGTAACTCTTACTAACCCCATTAAATATTGTTTGCAAAGAAGCATTTTTTCAGCTTTTGACTTAAAAGCTAAAAGCTGGTAGGTTTAAAGATGTTTTAAACTGCTTTTAGCTATTCTATTATATGAAAGAACTTTTTTCTAAACGTTATGTAACTTTTACTTTCAGCTTATGAAGGCACAACACCAGTCTTGATTGTGTAATTGAGATAACTGATGTTTCTGTTTTTCTTAACTGTGCTAAAAATAGATAGATGGACCATTTGCAGGATCCGATTCTTTATAGCAAGTTTTCTGGTTGGAGTACTAGTCCTTCTTCCAGAGTAATACCCGTATCAAATTTACTTCCAGATTAGGCTCACAATTTTTAATGAGCATCATATTTGTTACGATTGGATTCAACTCGTTTTTTACTCATAGTGGTTTGCTAGTTGCTAGCTTTGACTCAATATATTGCATTTGGCTCTGAACTTGTTGATATTGATATTTTAGCTAATTAAAGATACAATGGCGCCATTTCTAATTATAATCCTGGAGTATTCAAATGGTTGGGATCATCTGTCTAAGGATCAAGTCGGAAGTGCTCTCTCACAGGTAAAAATGATTTTTATAACCAGTTTGGAAAAAATCATTTTGTTCAAATTTAGACCTACGATCAAGACATTTTTTTGGGATAAAGAGATATGATAATATTCTTCCTCATATATGATACACTAATAGAGAGTATTATTTGATTATTCTCCATAACTTAGTTTTTTTGTTATATATGTTTTGCTTTAGTTAGATTTCACTTCTTAAATTTGTCTACAGGAGGAAACTTGATGGTTTTTTGTGAAGTCATGCATGTTCTTCAAGTGGTACTTCAACGGATCTATATCAAGAGGCAATCGACGGATTTATATACTACATCAAGTTCAATGTCATCCATTATTTGTTTGATTATATCTTAAAAAGTTGTAAATAAATGAAAACGTAATGAATTGAAAACTTGCAAACTTTTACATTGTTATGTTTTGTCAACATCATGGATTGACAAGTACATAAAAGTTGTATCAATTTTACAAGTAGATAAAAGTATTAATTTTTTATCATAGTTTTGAACTCGATAGTATGTGTTTTTGTGTTTCTATAGAGATGGGAGGACACACATAATTTCAATGCACCTAAAACTATATAGGCAACAAAAGGTAGACTTTTGTTGCACAAAACACTCATGTGCAACAAAAAATTACAACGCCCAAAAATTGTATGGACTACAATTGATAATGTATTATTGCACTAAAGATATATGTGCCACATAAAATTGCAACACACAAAGTAATTAGGGCTATGACTAATAAAAGTTTGTTGCACAAAGTACATTTATAGGCAACAAAAATTAATGATGTACAAACATTATTATGTGCAACAAATATTTGATTCGTCACTTAAAGTATAATGGGCCACGATACTTAGGCAACGACCTTGTGACGAATTTGATTTTGTTGCACAAAGAAATGTGCAACGAAATATCAACTTTTGGCAATGAAAATGTCCGTTGCACAAAACAGTTTTTCTTGTAGTGGTTAATCGATAGTCTCAGAACTCTGTCACATGTGCTTCCCAAAAGTCCGAGAATGAGGTCTGGAAACTCCTCATCCCGTCCATCATCGCTCTCCAATCGGATGCACTAGGCATGTCCGATGAGGAAACACAGGATCCCATGTATGGCTGTGCTCGGGAAGATCTACTTTGCTCCACCGTCTGCTCAATGCTTGGGAACTCCTGAGTACTCTGCTTCTTCTTCATCCACATGGTGGCAAAGGATGAGGATCGGAGAATGCGGATGCTATCCTGTAGTGGTAGTAATCCCGGAATGTCCAGGTCAGGGTAGAATGATTGAGCCAACATAGTGAAAAAAGGCTCTGCCTAGATAGTGCGGCAGACACTCTTCCCTTGGCTCTGGAAGAAACGAGCCATAAAGACCGCCATGTTCACCGGGGTACGGTGAATCAAACTCCAAAAGAAGAATATGTCTTTTTAGGACAACCTGTTCGTGTTGTTAGGTCGTCCAAAAAAACCACAAGATAGTACGAATGAGAGTATATACCAGTGTGTCTGCTTCCACTGGTTTGCCAGGGGGTATATCCGAAGAAAGGCTCCGGTGTCTGTAGAATGTGCGTGCCAGAACTCATTGAAGTCGAATGCCTCAGGTAAATGGGTCGGGAGAGCGCGGAACTCGTTTAATTGCATTGTGTGTATGCCGGAGCATAGAGCCCCATCCTCCATCCGAGCTTAGCCACAATGATGGGGTGCTCAATGTCCAAAATAGTAAACCTCATCTGACTCTCAGACTCAATGGCACATGCTGCCTGGACGGCCTGACCATACTGAGTGAAGCGTAGAGAGCACAAGAACTCGATCGTCAATGTGAAGTTGGCCCTCTCCTGTATGGATAGAATGTTCCGCCACAAGGAATCTCCCAGCAGAGCATCAATATCTCCCTAGTACCCCCACGTCTCGAGCATCTCCTGGTCTAGGATCATGGGAGATAGGAGACTGTGAAAATGCCCCCATGTCTGAAAGCGACTACGATCAGCATCAGTGGAAAATGGAATGACGGGCTCAGGTGGTGGGTCTTGCCTGCTCATCGGTGTGTCCTCGAAGATGGGATCGTCACGTCTTCATCCAGACATCTGCAAGATAAAACAAAGTAAAATATTTTTGGGGTTAGTTTTTGTGTGTGTGTTGGTTTGCCTCCCAATGAGCGCTTCTTTAACGTCACTAGCTTGACAAATTCCCTCTTTTGTTTCAAAATTTTTGGATATAGAGTATCTCCTTGCTTTTTTCAATTGGTCCACCCTGGTAAAGTTTGAGTTGATGGTCATTGACTTTAAAGGGACCCCCATTTGCATCTTCAATCTCGACCGTTCCGTAAGGGTAGCTTTTATGACCGTGAACGGTCCGGACCATCTTGACTTGAGTTTTCCCGAAAAAAACTTTAACCGAGAGTTGAACAACAGCATTTTATCCCCTACATTGAAATCACGGGCCTTGATGTGCTGATTGTGGTAGAGTTTGGCCCGTTCCTTGTAAAGTTTGGAATTATGAAAAGCTTGCGCTCTCCACTCTTCCAGTTCATTCAGCTGGTAAAATCATTCCTTCCCCGCGACATCAAGTTTAAAACAAACATTCTTCATCGCCCAAAGTGCTTTATGTTCAAGTTCGACGCGTAAGTGACAAGACTTCCCGTATACAAGGTGAAAAGGTGTGGTTTCGATCGGGGTCTTGTAAGCAGTCAGAAATGCCCAAAGTGCATCGTCAGGTTTAGTCGACCAGACTTTCCTGGTCTGAGCAACAGTTTTCTCCAGAATGGACTTCAAATCCCTGTTAGCATTTTCAACATACCCCTGAGTTTGGGGCTGATATGCTACTCCGCGATGTTGGACTCCATATTTGGCCAAAATTCTGACCATTGGATCATTGTGGCAATGAGTCCCTCTGTCACTAATCAAAACTCTGGGCACACCAAATCTAGTAAACTATTTTTCCAGAAAATTCACGACTACTCGAGAGTCGTTGGTGACACAGGCCTGAGCTTCAACCCATTTAGAAATAATCAATGGCCACGAGTATGCATTTGTTCCCTCTTGAGCTTGGGAAAGGTCCAACAAAGTCGATGTCCCAAACATTAAATACCTCACAAGGTAAGATAAAGTGTTGGGGCATCTCATTGCGCCCAGAAATGTTCCCAATTCGTTGACAATTATCACAAGAGGAAATAAACACATTAACATCCTTAAAAATCGTGGTCCAGAAGTACCCATAGTCCAAAACCCGTCTTGCGGTTCTATTCCCTGAAAAGTGGCCACCAGTAGGACCGTTGTGACAATGCTCCGGAATGTCTCTTCCCTCAGCTTCAGTAACACATCTTCTCACCACCTGGTCGGCACAAATTCAGAATAGATATGGATCATCCAAAAAATAGTGTTTTGCTTTTGATAGGAACCACCTCTTCATATGCCTTGTTAGTTCGGTAGGCCCGACTTTACCAACAAGGTAGTTGGAAATGTCTCCATACCACGGTGTTTGTACATTGGCAGATATCGCCATCAACCTCTCAGCAGGAAGGAGCTCCTCGGCTTCGCATTTTCCGAAGGTTTCTGCTAATTCGACATCTAACCTCAAAAGGTTATCAACTGCCTGATTAGCAGACCCTTTTCGGTCCCTGATTTAAATATCAAATTCCTGCAACAAAAGAACCCAACGTAATAGTCTAGGCTTAGCATCATGCTTTTATAGGAGATATCTAATGGCCGAATGATCGGTATAGATAATAACCTTCGAAAGAATATAATGATGTAAGCCTAAACTTCTCTAAAGCACAAACAATATCAAGGAATTCTTTTTCAGTGGTGGTGTAATTGAGTTGTGGCCCAGATAGAGTTTTGCTAGCGTAGTATATTGGGTGGAAGTTCTTGTCCTTCCTTTGGCCGAGAATGGCCCCCACTACTAAGTCACTAGCGTCACACATAAGTTCAAAAGGTAAACTCCAATCTGGGGCCAAGAGTACGGGAGCATTGATCAGTTATGTTTTAAGTGCTTGGAAAACATGGTGACATTCGTCAGAGAATATAAAAACCACATCTTTTTCAAGTAACCGGGTAAGAGGTTTTGCGATTTTAGAGAAATCCTTTATAAAATGACGATAAAAGCCCGTGTGTCCTAAGAAGCCGCGGATGGCTTTTACCGTGGTTGGTTGAGGGAGTTTCTCTATTGTTTCAATTTTTGCACGATCAATCTCGACCCCGTTACTTGACACTTTATGTCCAAGTACTATACCCTCTTTCACAAGGAAGTTACATTTCTCCCAACTTAAGGCTAAGTGGGTTTCCTTGCCGCGGATAAGTACTTTTTCCAGGTTTTCAAGGCATTTTTCAAAGGTTTCCCCGAAAATAGAGAAGTCATCCATGAATACATCCATGAAGTGGCCAATGTATTTCTCAAAAATGGCAATCACGCACCTCATGAAGTTGGCAAGGGCATTCAGAGACCAAAAGACATTCGAAGAAAACCAAAGGTCCCAAAAGGGCATGTAAACGTAGTTTTGTGTTGGTCTTCCGGGTTAACATGGATTTGGTAGTATCCACTCATGCCATACAGGAAACAATAATGACTATGGTCTGCCAACCTCTGTATTACTTATCGATGAAGGGGAGGGGAAAATGGTCTTTCCGGGTGGCTTCGTTCAGTTTACGGTAATCGATTACCATTCGCCACCCGGTAACAATTTGACTGGGCAGAAGTTCGCCTTTTTCATTCTTCATGACAGTCATTCCCCCCTTTTTGGGGCAACATGAATCGGGCTTACCCATTGGCTATCAGAGATGGGTAAATGATACTTGCATCCAGCAGTTTGACAATTTCAAAACACACTACTTCCATCATGTTTGGGTTCAAACGTTGTTGTGGTTGGACAACAGGTTTAAACCGTTCCTCAATTTTGATGATGTGGGTACAAAAGGCGAGGCTTATTCCATTGCTGTCCTCAAGTTTCCAAGCAATTGCTTGCTTATGTGTCTTAAGGACTCCAAGTAATTTGTCCCTTTGTTCCTCTCTTAAGTGTGTGGCGATGACGACAGGGCACTTGCCTTCATCATCCAAGAATGCATATTCTAAATGGTCGGGGAGTTTCTTTAGTTCGAGGGGGGTGGTCATTTTTTAAGTTTTGTTCATTTTTCTCCCCCTCGAACTCAGTCAATACTTCGTGAGAAGCTTGATCAATTAGCGCATCCTCACAACTCTCACATGCATCACTCATGTCACTGTTGGCTTCTTTTAACAAACATGGTTCATCACTTACATGTCCATTCTCTTCCCTAAACAAATACCCTTCAATAGCTTCGAAGGTATCAAGAAAATGACAACCTTGAAAAAGGAATCTGTAGGGTGTTTCATAACATCAGAGAGTCGGAAGGTGCATAAATTATCTCTGACTCTTAGAGTTAATGAGCCATCAGTGACATCAATTAAAGCCCTGGCGGTAGCCATAAAGGGCCTTCTCAGAATAAGAGGTGCTTCCCTATTCTCTTGCATGTCCA